GGCGTCCTGGCTAAATTTCCCATTGGCCCTTACCAATCATGGCCTCCTAATAATCCCCATCAATAAACTGGCTTCATTACTCTGCTCTCCCCCCCACTGACAGCTGATGAGTAGTGAGCGTTCTGGCGCACTATGGCTGCCGTCGCATCATCCAGGTGGGGCTGCACATTGGTGGTGGAGGAGGGGAGTCCCCATTACCTGTAAAGCGCTTTGAGTGGAGTGTCCAGAAAAGCACTATATACGTGTAAGCAATAATAATTATTATTACAGTATGCTGTGACTACTTGAATAAATAAATTGTGCTTTGGCTAAACACTGTTCAACATTTCATTTTAGTATATGCTCAAATATAGGAGAACTAGTCAACAAAATTATTTTACTGAGTTTGAAAAATTAGTGGCTCACCTACCATATCCTTCATCGCAATGAGCGACAGAAGTGCCTGACAAGGATACCACTGGTTTGAATCAAGGCTGTGTCAATTACCAGTTACTTCTGGAGTCCTCAAGGGTGGTTTTTAACTGGCGGAGTACTTCAGCAAGTACGGCAGAGCTGGTGTGTGGCTCCCAAGTCCAGAACACAGAGTGACTCCTTGAGCAGTGATGATGGGGTTCTGTCTGTCCCTTGGCCAGCACTCGAGCTGCTCTATCTTGTAGCTGCTGTGTAAAAATCAGAAACAAGCCTGGTAAGCACATACAGTACATTGCCGCCTTCTTTTACATTCTGTCATGATGTCCAGGGAAATTTACCATCATTATGATTCCTTTGGAACTTGGAAAGTGGTATTATTCTTCGTGTTTTTATTTCCATTTCTAACTAGGAATTGTAATGAAAATAGATTAAGAAAATGAGGTTGTTATTATTATTAAAGAGGTTGCAGATTGTACAGAAATGATTTGTGATTATCAAAAAATAATGTCCTTTTCTTATCCTGCAATCTCATAGACATAATGATCTTGTGTAAAAACATCCTGGGGAAATAACTATTCTGAAGTTGAAGTGGCCTACTCTAAACTCATTTTTGTGTTGTTATTCTTTGGCTAAATAAACTCAAATGAACAGTTGTTTTCAAAGGGAAGGAAGAAGTGCAAGAGAAGGCCTGTGTTTCACATATAGTCTTGTCTAAATAGCACAGTTCTGAAGGAATCCTCTCTAAAGACCTTGATAGCATAATTCATTGAGTGATGATTGTTTTGCTGACCTGGTACTCATTATTAGTATCATTATTATTTTTAATATAACTGGGATTTTCTCATTTGGAAGTGGGAGTTGCTCTCATTAATCTTGTTTTGTCCAGATGGCTTGAATTGTATCAATTGAACGGCTTAATGTGATACATAATCAAATCACTGTGACTGCAGCCTAGATCCCAGTATTGGCAGTAATTGTTTCTCGATAATTAAAATAACACCAATAGTTTGTGAATACATTTTTTTCAGAACTGTTATTTCCATTACTTAATGTGAGTTTCAATTTTGGTGTTTGCAAACCAGAGCTCTGCCTGGTTCTGAAGCACTCTGGGCAGGCCCTGACTCCCACTTGTGAAAGAAAATGGAGAGATCAGAATACGCAGGATCGACTCTTTCATTTTATTATTTCTTACACTTTGTTTCTCATGTGCAAGGGGGTACAAAACAGTGTCACGGCCTGTGTTTCTATCCTCCACTGCAACAGCTTGCTCTCTCTAGAGAAAAGCCACACCACAGACTAGGGCATCTGTGTGCCACATATTTGCATTCAAGAATGGCAGGATGCTGATTTCTAAATATGTTCATTCTTCATTGAATCATGTTTAATTGTTTGGATCATGTGCTGCTGGCCCTGGACATATTGATGACCTCTAGTTAAACATAGATGGCCAATATTCAGTTTTACATACACAAACATGACAAGGAAGTGCAGTGTTGTTTTTTCCCCACACACTGCTTATGACCTAAGCTTGTTATTAGACATTCTGAGGTGAACAGTGCACTTGGGAAAGGATACTGAATTAGCTTCAGTAATATCTTACAGCTGACTCAGCTTAAAGCTACAAATTCAAATGGATTCCTTATTCCTTGCAGGTTGACAAAAGTCTGTTATTAAAAGGGTAAATTTCCCTATTCTTCGAGTATTTTGAAGAACACTGCATATGTTTCACAAGACGATTTTAACAAAAAGTAATGAACAATATCTAATTTCAAGTAGCGATTTTACATTTTTCAAGTTTCAGCAATTGTTCTCAGCAATACATTTTAATACTCATTTTCCTGATTTAGATTATCCCGAGAAAACTATCCTGAGATCCTAAGAAAACAAACAAAGGGATGGTGTTGGGTCCACCTGGCTCCTTTGGTAAGTACTTGCTACATTTTGTAAGGTTCCCCATTTAGCTGCTAAGTATCTTAGATATCCAACACTCAATTTGAGCCCCAACAACATGTCTGGATATCAGTCTTAAATGTATGTTTTCTAACAATGTTTCATTGTTAATCCTTAAAAAGCCCACTGTATCCATACAGTACCTTGAGAATGTTGAGTATTTGAATCAAGTCTCTTCATAGTTTAATCTGTTCAAGTGTAAAAGGAATAAACTATTGCCTGCATAAAAGACGCAATCACCTCTAAGACCATGAGAGCTCTTTTACACCCAGTGTATCTATTTACACATTATAGATGCCCTCCTTGGCCTCTAGTGGCAGGCTGACTCCTCTACATATGGGTAGCTTCTCTAGGCTCTGTGTCTAACTTATATTTATAGTTCAGGCTTTTTCCAGCTACATAAAATACTCTGCAAATACCTACATTAAATATTATGTATAAGATTAGTTTTTGTTTGTTTTCACAGTTTTTGCTGCTTTCATTTCATTCTTATTACATTGTTATTATTGATTTAAATTAGGAAACGCAGCACTGATCCCTGTAATACACTATTAACTCCACTCCAGTTTTAACAATCACTCCTCATCTCTTTCTTATTAACCAATCAATTCTTAATCCAAATGTGTTCACAAACACGGATGTGTGTACTCTTCAGTTTATTCATCTTTTATGGCAAACCATATGCTTTTCTTGTATGCTCTCCATGCTTTTTCAAAAATGTAAAAGATCTACCTTTTCTAAATCCACATTGCCTATCTTCTAGAATTTCTTATGCTGATACAATTCAAAAGTAAATTTAGGCTTCCTTTCTCCTGGAACATGTTGCCATTTCCTTTTCATCTTATAAAACTATTTAAAGTATTCAATTACTATTCATGATATACTTGTTCTAAAGGTCATCTACAGTATATGGCATTTAACATTACATTTTACTTGTTTGCTGTAGCATATCTACTGATGAGTGTAAAATAGTTAATTAAAAGTATCTGGTTAATGAAAAATTGCACAACAGCTTATTTCTAGTATGCTCTTTTGTTAAACCCTCAGACTTCCATTAAGCACCCCAGTTTGACAATTACTCATTTTGGAAGCAGACAAAGAAGCCAAAGATTTAGCTGTACATTTTTTTACTTTCTTCCAATTCCTTTGTTAACCACATGATCTCGATAAGCAATACAAAGCAATAACAGGGGAAAATTGATGGAACAGTGCTCCTTCAAATAAGAATCCAATGGAAAACTAAAAGATAACAGTTTTAGATTAGCTGTGCAAAATATTTTGGGCATTTTCTGCAATTTAATAGAAGTATTGTATCCTGCTGTTTCACCATATTAAATTTTAAAACTTTGTTTAAAAAGATATTAAAGTATTAAGAGGCCATCAACTCTAGACATCTTATAGCCCTTAAAGATCACTGACTGTTTCATAGATATATCATAAACCATGTATCTGTGGGGAGGTAGATTTTTAACGACCATTTTTAACCAGTGTCATCCAAGTAAGTTAGATAAAACCGAAGAGCCTCCTTCATTGGTATTCTGGACCTATGGCAGGACAGACAGGACAGAAAAGACTCTGCTTGAGAGGAAGACTAAAATGATTTTTTTCCACCTTGTAAAATGCTGAGTTTCATAGGATAAATCAGAAAGGTATCAATTCCTTCCGGAGTCAGACCACAGAGAAAGCTTTAGTTTAATACACTCTGTAAAAACAATGGCCAGCAATTTCTATTGTCCAGGTGTTCCAGACATGTACAGTAGCTTGTAGTTTAGCCTACTGATTGGTAAAATAAAGAGGTTTGAACAGCAAGGTTCAGGGCCTATTAGATCCAGGCAGGCATAGATGCAATGAGATCTGCTGATCTTAATAGGACATAAAGGAAGTTAGGAAACACAAAAGATCCAGCTAGATTTCTGTAGGTAACTTCCATGCCTTCAGGTAAGTTAACCATTTGGATATTGCTGTGGCATGACCTGCTCTCAAAGTCATTCAGGTCATTCTGCTTGTCAACTAGATGAAGACAAGACACACATAATGAGCTTTTCCATTTCCTTGGTGTGAATGGTAAACTCCTGTTTAAGATTTTTCATTGGTTTGAGACCCATAGCCTCGGTCAGCATTCCTGTTACCATACTGCAGATGGCATTGCTCTGGGATGCTATAGCTCATTCAGTCACTGTCATCTAACTGTCATTCTTCCCCAATGTCTCTATGCAGTGGGGTCATGATGGAAAAAAACAAGAATGACAATAGCAGGAATAAAATAAGGAGCTCAGTGACATACTGCGATGTCTCATGATTCACCACATAAAGGTCAATTTTAAGGGAAACTTCACACAATTCAGAATCTAAGTTAAAAAAAATGATTGTCTATGAATGATTAATGATTGAAGCTTTTTGTGGTTGTTCCCAGAACAGATTCTAAAGATGTTATTGCCTTTGAAAAAAGTAATTGCTCAGTTCCAGCTGTTTACCCAAGTTCATCTCCGACAACTTCTACAAGCATGTCAATAATCTAAAGGGCGGCAGGCTCTTTCTTACAGTATTTTGTCAGGTTTCCTTGTTGGTATACGATTAATCAATTGATTAATTTTTCAATTTTTTTTTCAATTTCCCATTTTACATTTCAGCTTAGGATATTTTGAGCACATAACAGAATTTATATTCGTCTCATCTTTTTAGCACACTGTGTATCATAAAGGAATCCCTTCCTCCCTAATAAAAATGAGGAAAACATTGGTACGCAATACAATCTGACCTATATACTCACTAATTATTTGACTTTTAGATATTTTCCTCCTATAGCATGAAAAGGAATTTGGCTTGATACATAATAATCAGAAACCGCTATGCAGGTCATCTGCTCGTAACTCTTCATGTCAAATTGATGTACTTGACACATTTCTTCTAAAAGGTGCATAATGTAATTCAGATGAACTGCTCTAGACATTACATTTTATTGAAGATGTGAATAAGAAATGACCAGCACTGCATGAATATGGTACTGGCACCAACAAATTATTTGTAGATAAAATGAAAAAAGACTCTCCTTTGATGTGAAAATCCAAGCCCACTAGCCTGGGAGGCATTTCTTTTTAATTTCAGGGATTCCTATTCTAAAATTTGTCTCAGGTACAGGGCATTTTTTCAGCTCTCTTGGCTTTGTGGTGAACAGAAAAGAAAAAGAAAAGTATCCTTTGATTAGTTTAACAGTGAAGCTGTCAAAGAGCAATAAAGTTCTTGAGTGACAGTGGGTCTGTTTTTCTTATAATCTTTGGCAATTTCAAAAGAACAGTAAAAGGAAAGATCTTGTTAAACACAAAAGGAAGTAGTCACTTTGGGACTGATACAAGTCTAAATAAAATTGACATGGATTTTTTCCTAACTAAAAAAAGAATATGTAAAAGACTGTTGTATGCATACAGACAATGTCACTGTGTTACAAAGCACAATCTGATGAAGACATATGTTAAACACTGTGAAGGTAAAGAGGACTTCTTGTTCGGAAAACAAACAATTTGGAAATTATTCAAACACCTAAAAAAAGCTCTGCTGTGTCTTGATTGATGTTATTCTACAGATTTAGGCATGCATTTATAACAGCTTGAAATCTGTTTCAGTTTTTATTCAGACAATATTTGCATATACCTTACTTGATACAAAATTAATAGAGAAACTCTTCACAAACAGTATTATGCAAGGTAATTATTTCAAAAACATTTCTTTTTTCATACATTTATGTCCTGTTTTTGGAAACAGCTTCTCCAAAAAAATATTTGATCTCCAATTCCAAAATACAAACTGCTTTTGGCCATAAATTGAGAGTTTCACATACAGTTAGAAATTAATTTGCCACAGATTGTACTTGTTAAAACATTCAAACAGCTGCAATCAAAAAATTGTTCTCATCAAAACAAAAAAAAGCTTTTAAAAGTTTAATATGCATATTTGCATATTCATCTTATTACGGGGACTCTTCAGGAATACGTTCACACTTAATTGACTACAATATCTTTATTTGATATGAATACATTTATATCAGTCGCTTTAGCTATAAATGAATCCCTGTAAAAAGGTTGGCTTGTCAGCTGAAAGAATATCATGATTTCTCAGGTACAGTCTGATTTATGTTATGATTTAAGTTAGCTTAGTGTGCAAGCAATTTGAAGTTTGAGTGAATGTGAATTTCCCAGAGATATCACTTGTTTGCAATGCTTCTATAAAATCGATAGTATTTAAAGGTCTTTGACTATAATTAGTAATAGGTACAAATAATCCGCTTTTTATTTCATGAGAAACATGTTTTACAAATGAACCATTAAGAAGATGTTATACAATTTCCTTTACTTATCCTCCACATAATCAAGTTTAATTTGTACCAAGAATATGTTTTCCCCAAAAAGTATTCTTAGCGTACAACCTGTAAGGCTGAGTGCTAGAAGTACAGAGTTCTGTAGAGATGTGGATGAAGGTAGTAAACTAAACAGCAAGGCCACTAATCACTGGGAGAGCAGCCCTCTATAGTGTTAATTTCAGGTCAAGTCATCAGCTAAAAGGACATAGCTGCAGCTGGGATTCAAAGAGGTTCTCTGACGATGTTTTTGCTACAAGACCGAAAACAATCCTTTCTCTGTCTCCTTTGGTCTGTTCCGTGACCTTGCTCCAGGCCAGACAGCCTCAGCAGCTGCCTTGGTTAACGTGGTCAGTGGTGGTGAAAAGTGAACCAGTGTGGCTTGCCTAGGGATAAAACACGTTTTAACATAACTGACATTCCTGCAGGTGCGGCGGCCATTGTTTATGTGCTTCCCCCTGTTTGTTTATTTTTGAGGCTAAACACTTCAGGCTTGTCACTCGACCTCTGCAGAATCTGACCTGAGGGGGTTCAATGATCATCTTTTTTTTTTGTTTCCCATTTTAGTGTTTTCCAGACTCCTAAGCCAAGAGATTTAACTCTTCTCAATGGGTTCACTTTTGAGTGGGAGTCTATCAAAATTAAGTAGCTAAGAAGTAGCTTTACGACATTTCATAACATGAGCAAACACAAAGAGGTGAGAGCTTTCTTGTTATTGGATTGAGAGAGGATGTGAGGACCTCTTCAATATGTGAACTAATTTTTATTGTAAGATCATAAAGCAGCAGGTCATGAAACAACTAAATGAATTTATAAGCATTTGAACGCATTGTCTAGGATTCTAACATTCTTCCATGACCAAGCCTGCCTTGCCTTAAATGCTATACATTAATTTTATAAATCCTTATTATACACATAACATTCATATTTTTTTCTGTTTTGTCAAGAAGACAAGTACACTTATATAGATCAATAGACCCCAGAACTGTGCACGGCACAAATTAGGCAATGACTCTGAAAGAGTATAAGAAATCAAATAATCCTGTTGCTCAAATTCCTCTCTTTTTTAAGATACAGGTAATTAGTATCATATAGGAGGCAGTGTTCACAGCCAATGTAGCCACAAAATGATTTATTTAAAAGTATGTGTTTTTTATCTCCAAAACACATTTTATGCTGCTTTTTTACATATTTCTTCGTCAGATAAACCTAAAGCCTTTTTTTCCCCCCCATCTTCCAAAAAATCCTTTCACATTTTACATTTTGCCTTTTCAATCAGGGTATTTCATTATAAAAGGGTCACAATGTTTTACTTAAATATTTTAAGTAATCAGTGTTATGAAAATATATCATGGTTTGGGTCACTGAAGCCAGTAATAACCCAAAATATATCATTCAACTACTCAGAATACATCAGTGTAAAGTATATTTAAATCAGATTGGATTCAAGCTAATTCTGAAACTATGATTTTCATTTCATTAAAAAAAAATTGGGTACATGATTAGTTGTGGTACAACAGTAAAAAAAGAGAATACTACAAATTCTCAAGTCAATAATGGATAAGGTTGGATAATAAGTTTGCTTTCCATTAAATATCAATGAAGATACTAATAGAACCAAATTAATAAAAGGGTTCATGCATATCAAAGAGAAAATTTACAAAACACAAAATCACATATAGAAATTTCACTTGTTGACCACCTCTAATTGCTTTAACCGAATGTTTAATATTCAAGACTGTAGTGACTGCTTTTGACACGTTCCCCTCTGAAATTTACTGCCTGAACTTTTCTATCAATATACATTGAAAACAGGCGGCTGGTGAAAGGGGTTAAAAACACAGACAAGGGGATATTCTTTCCTCAGTTCTTCCTGTGGGTTATGACCTTTGCTTTTTTAACTTCCTTGATTTAGTTTCAGTAAATAGTTGCAGAGTGGCACACCACCTGCTTTTGGTACTTGAGAAATTGACTTTTCCTGAAAAGTACCCTGACCAGTGACCTTGATTGACTACCAAAGGACTTATAGAGCCGGTGTATCCTTCTGTGTGGCCACTTTCCCTTCACCGACTGCCATTTAACCTCCTAATTACTACAAGCCAGCTCACTGTGTTTTAATGCTTTGGTCGTGGAAAAGGCTTGTAAACAATAAAATAAGCACACATGCACAGGATTCTCTTCACTGGTGTATGAGATTTTAAAAATCCACTGTCTGAATATTTTCTTATATCAACACGTATTTCAAAAAGAGTGTTGGCAAATATAATACAAAAACATATGCACATTTTTTTCCCAATTTGTAGGGTTCCTTCCTAATCTCCCTAAAAATCAAGCTGGGCTTGTTTCTCATTTCCATTCCCTTGCCCAAGTTGACCTGTGCAATACCTGTTCAATGCAAAAAAGAGGCTTCAGGTTCCATAAATGTCAAAGCAGGTTGTATATTGGAATTCCTTTCAGAAAAATGCAAAATACACAGTTTCTTCTTTAATACAAATGAATAAATGAAAGACAAGTAAGGAAAACAGCATTACATTAGGCACTGTATGCATCACAGCCTTTATTATGGATAAGATATAATTTGCTATATTTATTATTAGTTTGTATGGATTATGAAAAACTAGAAATGTACCACAGTTACAATGAAAGGAACAAACTTTTAGACGATTTAGTACTTAATCCTGTTTAGATGTAAGGAACCTTATTGGGGTTTTGATACGATCTCGTATAAAACATTAAAAAAGAAGCCAGAAATATATCAGTAATTCTATATACTGTATAGATGTGAGTCCCTAAAGATTTACATATTTATAAAAGTGAAGGAAATATGTAGTGGTATTAATGGTGCAAGTAAATTATTTTCACTTACAATGAATTAATATACTGTTCCCTCATGCTGCAGGCTGATTTAAACACAAGGGTAAGCCAAAGTTGCATACTGTTCCAATCACATGCCACAAAAAAACAAAGAACAATAACTCAGGCACTAATGATGTACTGATAGGATTTACAAGGTGTTTTAAGCAAAATGTGGTAATCTGTTAATTGCCATATTAGTCCATCTGTTTGTGCTGCTTAATGTGATAATTTGTTATGATGGTCATTGGAATTTTAACTAGTTCATCTGGAATGCAAAGTAAAATCCAGGAACGGAAAACAAAATGAAGGTTTTTTTGGTTTAAAAAATATGAGTGTTCTTTAATTTTAAAAGAAAATGAGAGGCAAATTGGCCAAGCCTTTCTTCTTGTATTGACTTCATATGTTTTGCACATTCAGGATGCAGTAATTATAATCTCATTCTGTAAATTACATTACTTTCATAATTCTCTTGATTTCAACAAAAAAAAAAAACATTTTGATTGTTCCTGTTTTCTTTCCATTGCTTGCCAAGATTTAAATACGTCAATATCTGTATTTCAGGTTTGGCTGATTTTCTTTAAATCTTGGCTACATGTGCCATCTTTCACTAAGCCAAAGAAATACTTAAAGTAATAAAATGAAAAAAAAAAAGATAACGATAATTTAATACAGCAAATATGTAGGCTAACCTATTTTTTTCATGCTAGAATAATGAAATTGCACTGCAAATACTCTTGACTGTTCTGTAATGTTTTATCATGCTGTGCTGTGGGCCATCATTCCCTGACTGTGGTTGGCTGCACTTTGCTATTCTTTCAGCCCCATACATCATGCATCTGCTTTCACCACTGCACTTGCTTCAAAATAAGGCTAAGAATGTTTCCAACTGGGGTACTGATAGCAGTGTTTTCATTATTGCCTTACAGGATCAAGGAAATGAAAGTTAGACCAAATCTGCTCAGCATACCACACATGCTCTCGGATCAAAGGTCACTTCTGGAAGCCCAGGATTAGAAAGAGGTAAAATTATATTTTTATCCATCAGCTTTGATTTTTCAGCCTAATTTTTCTCCCCCCCCCCCTTCCCTCCTGCAGAAAATCTCTCTGGCCTGGCAAAAAAAAAAACAGATGTTATTCTTCAAGTGTGGTCTTTATGGCAGAGTTTGGTGATGCAACTAAAGGAAAACACAAATTCAAAGCAACCTTGAGCTCAGACAAATTGGGAAGGGAACAAGTTCAAAAGAGACTTCAAGGTCATTTGACGTGAGAGTCTAAAGTCTGTTCCGGCTGAAGTAAAAAAAAATCAAAGACAAGTTTTGGCTGTAAAAAGTCAAAATCAAAAAGAAAAGTTTAAAAGAGACCATCTAGTTCTGACAAGCAGACAGTATCGAATATCTCCATTTAGTCAATGGATGGAAGCTAATCTGAATCATATATTGGGAGCAGAAATTGAATTCTCATCTAGTAACATGAGTAATGAAACCTGTAACCTATTCAGCTTGACAGATCCATTCAGATTTCTACAGTAATACTATTCCTAAATGGGGAAAACACTCCAACATTAAGGGATAGTTTGACAAAAAAATCAAATGATCACAAAAAACAATATTGTAAGTAATCCAACCATTTACATAGTGCTTAGAATTATGTCACCTGTGTTTTTGGTTTACAGATAATTCATACATGTTAAGAGGATAATATTTTTAAGCAACATCAACAAACACACGTTTGTGTTAAAAGATTATTTTAAAAAGTCTCAGACATCACTTTTTTTGCTCTATATCTCTTAGATGCATACATTAAGTGCAGAATAACTAAACGTATTCACTAGCAAACAGTAATGAGCCTCATTTAGAATCAAGCTCGAGCACTTTTTAAGACAGTGTAACTATCTGCAATTATAAAACTTCTCAAATGTATATAGTGGTGTGTTCACTGTGGATTTCTGTTTTGCTGTTGTAGACCATGTTTCATTTTAGCTCAAATAGGTTTCACTAAGTGTGTAACCTTGAAAAGGTTTTCCAAACTTTCCTGAAACCATAGCACATGACAAAATATTTTACTTCTTATTGAGGAGCTCCCAAATGTATTTAAAAAAAATGAAGTGAGAACCTTCCAATAAGGAAGAGTCCAAAAGGAAACATTCTAGCCCTGATTTGTGATTAACCAATTTAACTCTTTACAGCTCAGCTACAGAAAGCAGAATTTCCATTATTAGCTTGCTTCCAATTCCTACCTTTGAAGTTTTTTTGATTCACTCCCTCCAAATTTGTGCTTGAAATTACCATGCTTTAGTATTTTATTGAAAGCTTTGGGAGGACAAAAAAGGATTGGTACTGCTTTTAAATAGACAAGAGCCCTCTCAAGCCTGTTGAAGCCCTCAGACCTTACTTTTACTACAATTGGAAAGCACATTGTCTGAAATTGAATAGAACGGTTTTAATGATACAAGGATCACAAGAAACTTCTTAGAACAACGCTTCAAACTCTCTAAACTACAAACCAAATGTTTCTTATTCGTTCCATGCCTCTTCTTAACTTTTTTTACTCTTTCCATTGTCTTCAATACCATAACCCTGTGATTTTGCATTGATCTGCCAAAAATTAATAATGTGTTCTATTTAACTAAATTTGACCATACTACAATATTCAACAATTTTTAATATACAAGTAGCATCTTAATGTGTCTAACAATTCTGTATTTTGTACAATTGCAATAATAATTCTATTATTAAATATAGCCTTAGCTAATGCTTTTAATAATAATTGTCCTTCTGAATATATTACATTATGTAATGTTAAATGTTTCACTTAAAAAAAATGGAATGTTATTTAAAAAATAGCAGAAAGAATGATTTAAAATATTTTGCTTACAATTACAGTGGTGTTGCATTCTATATTCTGTATGTTGACTATAAAATGCTATGTAAGGTACTGTTAGTATCGGCTTCATAATCCAAGGACATTTTTTTGAAGAAAGACAACAAAAACACAGTATACTCTAAATTCAAAAAAATCCAGAACTTTTGCTAAATTAATTATTGCATAATTATGATTACAATGGAAAATATTTTATTGTTTTAATGTCATTACCCATGGATTAAAATGTTTCTATTACAAACTCACACTTGACAAGCAATTTGCATTATAGAGAAAGAACCCAAATTCCTGTATTAACTCAGCATCAATTTGTACTAACTCAAATCTAACAATTTATCTGTGGTTTTCAAAACCCGTGAGAATTTCTTAAACTTGGTAATGATTTATCCATAAATATTTGAATAGTCAACGTGTATATATATTTAAAAGAGGAAATCTAGATTTATTGTACTGCTATTAAAAACCTAATCGTAATTATTGAAATGACAACTGGAGAACCCGATTGCTACACAGCAACTGAGGATGTGGTGTGTAAAAAAAATTGTATTTGCTTTTTTGGCTGATTTTTTTACCATTGATTCAAAGTCAAAAATACATCGAGTCGTAAAAAAAAACATACAGCAAAATAGGTAATATTAACTAGAACATTCATCAAATGTCTTAGAATACCAACTGCCTCCTCTTCTCACTGCAAATCAACCCACTCCAGTAGTACAAATATTAATTCAATCAAGCCCCCAGTAAAGTGGCTCTATTTGGAGGGATTTTGCCCCCTTACGATGCATACAGTAATGTATTCAAAGGATGTCTTCTGAAGGAGTGTGTTGTACTGTATCTTACGTATTAGTACCTGCTGCTTTGAAGGTCAATGAGATTAAAGTATAAAGCAATGCAAAGGTATTAAAGACAGTGCATCTGGATGGTGCCTGCTGATTTGTGATTTAAATGGTATTTGAACCAGCAGAGAGCGAATGGGGAAAAAAGCAATGAAAGTACTGAGCATCGATGAGAGTGCCATTAACCATCTTGTTATTTACACTTCATAAGCCAGTATATTACATTGACATCAGGCATGCCTTCCCTACTAGTGTTTTAAGATCAGCAGGCTGACACCATTCTGTATTCTCTGTTTACCTTTCAGCTCAATGGCTGATTGGTGATTTTCCTGATATGTCATTCCAGTGCTCCAGACTGCATGTAAGGTCTTATTTTTAAAATAGTTTGAAGGCATTCATTATACTGAAAAAATGTGAGGATCGGGGAGGTGAGTTACAATTGACAAGGGATTAAGGTTTCTCTCTTCCACGCATGGTAAGCCTGTGAATTTCTATCCAAAATATCTTGTTTAAACTGTGGAAATGGAAGGGAGTGAAGTGATATTTGATTTTACGTAACATCATGAGCTTTCTTGATTTCATGCAACCTGTAGCTCTCACCTTAACGCAGGGGTTGCAGGATTCAAAACTATGAGCTTTCTTATTGAGAATTTTGTCATTTGTCCATGGCAAAAAATATTTGACAACTGAGGAACAAACAGTACTCTGGGTTAGATCTTTTCACCTTATTCATCTGCACAGGCAAGAAATATATCCAGAGAATTTGTGGGTTTTTTTTCTTATCTTTTTAGTATTTAAAAATTTTAGTACATAAAAACATTTATGTTAGAATGGATTTCAAAATGCACTTCTCACTTTAAAGTCCAAAACCTTCAATGTTCCTTTAAGTGTTTTAGTAATTGCTTTTTAACTCAAATGACTTGTCTAATTTGTCCCACCAGTGAGCAATTAATAAATTACTTATTAAAGATACATTTAATAAACAAAAACAGATGATTATAGTCCATCCACAAACATCATACAATGAATGCTTGTTAAATGTCACAGTGGTGGTTAATTTTAAAGAATATACTGTAATTGGATAAAGTTAATAAAGATATAAATGAATTCAAAGAAACTTGAAATTGTTGTTTTATTTTTTAATTAGAAATACATCTGTTAAAATGAAAACTATATGTGCTTTAAAAAATTCTGATGTTATGTGAAATGCAGTTTATTGTACAGTAATTCATATGATTTTTGATAAATTAAATATTGTAATCTTTCAATTTTGGAGCTAGGAATTTACAGTGATATCTAAATAGTGCCTAAGTTATTCTGAGTTCAAATCTGATCTTTCATCTTAGTTCCACATTTAATTTTTCTTTGCTTTTTGCAACACTCATTTTGATACAGTAAATTCATACAACATTCATTCATATAAGAAAATTAAAGGAGCAACAACTGTACATAATTCTTTTTATTCATACATATTTCAAATGCTGCATTAGAAAAGGTTTTGTGAATAAAGATTAGATTCTGAATAAAAGTGAGGAATACCCATTAAAGGTATATCTATTATTAAAAATGTTAAATCTGTGTGAATAAAGTGGGACATTCAAACATTCTTCAGTTTGTTTTATTTCTTTGGACAAACAAATTATTAGTAGTGAACACTGAAATAGAAGAAAAAATACAATAGGAATATTGTGTACTTATATCCTGGGGAATTAAAAGCATGATTAGTTTCACTATTCAATATTTTTGGGCATATTTATTGCCTTTAAAATAATGTATTTTGTTCCATAATTTAGTTTATCAAAAATGACTCACAAATGCAATCAGAAGTACTTAAATTCAGAATTTTTTTAGTGTGTAATTTGAATTTAGATCATGTAATAGCTGCTGAAGCAAATTTATTATAATAAATAGGCAATAAAAGTGATGTATCTTATACATTGTAATACCCAAGTACACAGATCTTAAATAATAACTACACAGGGAATGATGATAAGCACGTTTTCAATTTTTCCAATGCAGAAAATTATTTCTGTATAAAAAGCATGCAGACTTTTAAAACTTTTTTAGAACATAATTACCATATGCATAATCTCATCTGAAATGTCGTCCAGGTGTTTCTCAGAGAGATCACTGTTATCCAGGTTTGGGTAGAAGCCCAAATGCAGCAAGCAAAATACTCAAAAGGGAGAGAGTGCAAAACATATCCATATTCCAATGTTTTAATCACTGTCATGATATGATTTTTTTTCTTTTGCTGTCCAGCTTTTTGACATCCCCTTTAGTCATCAGATTCCATTTAAAGTATTGCTTTCTGTTAAAACACTTAGGCAGAATGAAAGAGTTGCAAAATATTTACTGTAACACAGACAATGTGAAACTGACAATATCTGTGTATTTGTGTATTCAGAGCTGTACAAAAAACTATGTATTGAAATTGGAAAAACATTTTTTTAACATTTTAACTCTCCAAATATTTTTTTCCAGCTAAATAAGCCATTTCAAATGTTCTTAAGGATAACTGAGTTGCTTTTACTAAATTGTTGTAATTTCAATATCCAATTATTTAGAAAAAAAATCACAGGCAGTATATTTCAGGCAGTTGAAAATACTGTAATCTTATTATTCTAAACAGATTATTAATCAATATTAAGTTTGAAAAGAAAGCAATTCACATTTTGTCCACAACATTGACAATAAAATTCTAATTTAATATTAGAATGTAAAAACATGTTTTGTGCCACAATACACAGTAAAAAATCCCAACTTTGAGTAAAATACAAATGCAAAAAATAACTTGTGGAAATATTTCCTAGACAGACGTATCTGTTTGTCACAGCACATATTTATAGGTGTTTGAATTGCTTTTAAAAAGGGGCAAAAGTCCCTTGAATATATGTATTCAAACATACATTTTATATTATGATGACTCAGTCTACAGCAAATTATACTGACTGAAGTTAAATACTTTTTAAAGGAGTATGTATACACACATCTTTGAGTTGTATTTGCATAAATAATTACATACAGACAACAAAAGCAAATGCATTTCTCTGTTCGTGCAATTGATAAACTTCAGATACTAGTGGGGCAATCTACTGTATACACAGCCTTGTTTGGGATAGGGCTTCCTCCAGATTTACAAGTACATGTGGTTATCACACACCATCTAGTGGTAATGGTGGGTTAAAGGACCTGGTACGAATGTCTTTAGTAGCCCCCTTTGTCCTAAAAAGGTGTCATTGCTCCCGACACGTTCACAGTGCCATTACTGAATAGGTATAAAAACAAAGTTTTCAATACACACTTAGATTGTGCAGGGTACCAAGCCACTGATTAGTGTCCTAAATTGAGATGTTATTGATATACAAACTACACGTCATCTGGCTGACAGATTTTCATCAACAAAAGAAAATATCTGCCAGGGGGACAAACATCTGGATAATACTGTTTCACATCATTTCTTAATTGATGAATTTCAGAACAAATTTAAAATGAAAACACTAAGAAATTGGTAAAGAATTATACATCCTGGATCCAGAGAAAAATATTCTGTTTGGTACGAGGATATCTTCTTTTTTAATGACCATAATAAATTACATCATGGACTGAGAGTCCAGACATCATCAAGTGATTTATTTCTGTAATAAAATAGAAATTATTCTTGAGTAATAGAAATGGTCATGTTTATACTGTACCTTAGACATGCTTCAGTTTTTATATAAAGCCATTTACCATTTCCTTTTTTCATAACTGTTTCTTTACATTTTGCTTTGTGACAATATTGCAGAATGCCTTTATTACAAAATTATCATCTGGGCCTGTCATTCATGATTACTCTCCCAGACTAATAAGGGAGAAAGTTTTATGCAAAAGAACTTCAAAATTACCAAACAATTGGATAATCCATAAAGATAACCTGTCTTAAATGTCAGTTTTATTTCTCATGGGTGCATTTTCTTTAGCTCTCCTAGCCTTACAAGCAATTTCTTAATGCAGCTCCACAAATGTGGATTTTCTCTGAGTGCTCTCTTATGGTTTAATTTATTTCCAATTATACTTTGTTTGGGGAAACTGTAGTATAGGTCAAGGTCTGCACCAGAATGCACAGTTCTGGAAATTATTGGGACTTGTCCAACTATGAAATATTGCAGGGGGTTACAAGTTTAAATGAGTTTTTCCCCCCAAGAAAGAACAAAGTAGTATTTTCATGTTAAACATCTCCCTTCTGGAGGCATTTCTGCTCAGGATGATTTACAGAATGCTGAGGGTGACATGGTGCAGGACTTCACAAGTGATTCCTTCCGGATGAAAAACCATAGCAGGTATCTGTCTCTGTACTAGACTGGTTCACATTTCTCTAAGATTATCCATAGAAAATGCAAACCACACAAGAAAGTCACATGCACATTAAGTCAATTAAGATTCAAGCAGGGAAAAACGGAGAACTAGATCTTATTTCAATATGTTTTTATGAAACATTTTGGCTTTAAACTACATTATGTGCATGTCTTTTATTTGCTTTTGCAGAGAGAAATCTAATATGACATAAAATGATGAACATTCTTCCTTTTGCAGTTCCTTTTGGCAATTATCATTGGAAAATATAATTTTAAAATACAGAATTTTAGAGTTGTGGAAAGAATGTAGATGGTTGAATTTATTTGTTCAGTAGAAACAGAAGTATTGTTAGTAGAAGTAGTAGTAGAAGAATAAGGTTAATAATAATGATGGTTATGGACAAGCCATGAGGAAAAAAAGGCTTCATGATTTTTTAATCATGAATTCGATTCAACATCTAGCAACCTTAGTAACGTTTAGTTTTTAAAAGTTTTGGAAACAGTTCTAATAATGCTGATAATGATTCATAAATTTGTTTTAACTAAATCCCCAAGGCACAGCTATCAGTGCCATTTCTCAATTCATGGAAATAAACCTGATATTAACAGTACATGCTTACTACAATAGAAAGAAAGATTGAACTACATTTTCTTTAAGGCACAGTGGTTGTGTACTGGAAGGGCTACCTATTCGAGGCTTAGCAAGGCCTACATTCTAGTCTTAGAATACTTTCCGATGATTCAACCCACTGATCACATGAAACCCAAGAAAACATCCCAAATGATCACCGTAAATCAAAGTCGGATCCCAAGGTCAAATACTCTCTCTCAATGATTTCTGTTCTCTCAAAGCGCAAATACAATTATAAATTAATATTTGGAATACAGAATTCTGAGTCAGAGATAAGACCAGGTTCCACAAACAGCTTTCCTTCTTAAAGAAAGAGAGTCTATCTGATATATATATCATCCAGGTGGATGCTGCACATTGGTGGTGGTGGAGGGGAGTCCCCATTACCTGTAAAGCGCTTTGTGGAGTGTCCAGAAAAGCACTATATAAGTGTAAGCAATTATTATTATTATATACATTTTGATATTTTACTTTTTTGTTGAAACTTACTAGAGCTGTTACTTTACTGGGGTTTATTCAGGAACAATTTCTTCAAAGTGATGTATGTCCTAGAAAACAAGCAATGCCAATTTTATGCCAAACATTCACTTTAATAAGATTTATAGTACTTTTACTAGAACATTTGTCTTGGTACTACTATCAAAAGTTTCATCCAACTGATTCTTGTTAACATGGCTCGGCAGTTTTTTCCAGATTTCACAACTAGTGGCATAAAGAAATGCTTCCTGTGCTCAGTCTTAAAGGCAATTCTCCCACCAACATACAGCACCTGGTATTTTATGGTGACTTCCCATCCACCTGCTAACCAAGACCACCCCTATTAAGCTGCAGACACCAGACAAAATCAAATGTATCCAGTGTAGTTTGTCTGTAAGCAATTCCTATGGTCCCATTGTCCATCACAGTTATCTCATTCCAAAACCTTTGAAAACTCTCATTAGTGTAAGAAGGACTTAGGGTTGGAAGCAACATTAATTGACCATGTTCATCAAAGGTCTAGTAAATTGAGAAGTTTTATATCTCTTAAAATGGCTCAACACCAATAAGGAAATGGAATGTTTGGGGTTAATCTCAAAAC